GCGGCCCCCCCCCCCCCCCCCCCCTTGAAACTCAAGATGCCGGCTCCCTCCGCCACCTGCTCTAACACTCAACACTCCTCGTTCCTACTGGTCGGAGGAGATATATCCTGTCCTGTCACTGGTCAGCAGGTTGATGATGCATAAGCGCTCAGATACGTGAAACTGCATGAATGTATGTACAGTATTTAAGGAGGAAAATGTGTCATCGTAGGCACTTTCTATATCGCTTACGCAAAACCCCATGAGAAGCTGCAAACACAGACACACACACACACACACACATGCACACAAACACAAGGGCAGCCTAAGTGATGCTCCACTTTATCACAATGAAACACTGATATGAAGCTCATATTATATTTAATGTCATGTTTTTGAAATAACTAAGACTGCAATTAACCTTTTTTTTTATTTTTGATTAATCTGTCAATTATATTTTTCAATTAATCATTAAGATTATAAAATGTAAAAAATAATAAATAAATAAAAAATTCAAAAATTCAATATTTGTTCCACCCAACAGTCCAAAACCCAAAAGAAAAAACATTTGAGGAACTAGAACCAGCAAATACTCCTTCATTAAATGACTTAAAATATTAATTATGTTTTTAAATAGCTGGCAATTTATTTTTTTTATCTTATTTTACTAACGGACTTTTCCTCTCCACTGTCGCCAAGTGCTTGCTCATTGTGTTGGGTTTCTCTCTATAATTCTGCAAAGTGCCTTGAGTTAATGTAAGTTACGACAAATAAAATTGAATTGAATATTATCACAGAGGAAGACAGATTAGCCTTTTGACCTGCACATACACCAACACTCCCGGTGCATCGCACTAAACAGGTTACTGAGCTAATATGATAATTATAAATCTTCACTCCGCCGTTAGATCCCTGATGTCATCTAACCGAATGTTACCATCTGTCTGGCCTAAAGTTAAAAGTGACAGACTCCTCTGTATTTTTATCCAAACTTTAAAATCCATCCCGAAATATCATCTGTTCTTTGTGATATTATAGTATATTACAATTAGAAACTACTTTCTACTCTCTCCTCACACAGACTCAACTGCCACCAAATGTCCCAAATAAAATGACTGTAAATTAGACTGTGATTCGATGCATTCTGCTACATCTACTCTATCTAAAGTTGCATAAACTCCTGACCCGATGACCTCTTGTGCCAGGTGAGGAAGAGGAAAGGTGAGGCTGAATCTACAACGTGAATGATGTGTCTTTTCCACATTGTTTTTACACTGGTTTACAGCTCATTGCAGGATGTTGGACCGGGCTGCAAAGACATTCTTTCCCAGTGTATTGAGGAGAGGACATTAGATGTGATGTGGATGAGAACTTACAGAAGGTATAGTATAGTAGGTATAATTATTGTTTTGTAATATGTTACTAGAATGACTTTAGTTTCATTTTGTGCACTTGAAAATAGAAAAATATAAATATACCATTGAAGCCTATTGCAGCATTTCTGATTCATTTCTGTGACACACACTGAAATCTGTGCAGAGAAATGTTAGTTAGCAATAGTAAAAAACTGTAAACCCTGCATTGTGTACTTTTTAAATGTAAGTTAACATTTTAGCTGTTGTTTAAATTCCCTCCTTTGTTGCTTTGTTTTTTGTTTCAGGTTCATGGTCTCCGCTCAGTAATCGAGACACAACTAACACATGAGACTGAGCAAACTGGACGTCAACAAATGTCTTTCATTGGGTGGTGCACCCACACTGTGGTTAAATGACTTGATAAATAACAGTATGAATAATATCACACATATACGTACACACACACACAGACAGATGGGTCTTGGCCTCGAAGTGTCTTGGGTCGGCGTTATTCTATCATCCCTAGACAACCCCACACTTTACTGTCTGGCACATTTCAAAATACACACACACACACACACACACACACACACACACACGCGCGCACACACACACACACTAATACATAAAAGCACTTGAACACACCAAGACACGCACACACACATTCTGAGGAGTAATGTGATCAGTCCAAAGTGTACTGAGTTTATAGGAGAGAGAGAGAAATAAGAGAACTGAATTTCAAACACGTTTTATATTTAACTACTGTACTGACATAATTATTAATTATTATTATCATTATTATTATTATCATATGTGACTATGAGAGTATGAATAGAGAAATGGAGTCTATTTATTTAATTCAAATATATGATATTAGTATGAGAGACCTACAGACTACTAGTGTAAAAATGCTGAAATAAATTGAACATATCAATAATATCCTTTATCAGATAAAACATAAGTACAACAGACTCGACTGGTGTTTAAAGAGGCTCCAAAACTCTGATGGCAAAAGAAAGTGATGTCAAGAAATCAATCCTTCATTCGCTGCCTTTACTTCTATTCATCCTCACAGAGCCTATCCCAGAATGCACTGGGAAGGAAAAAGGTGGTCAACACTGCTGATGGGACACTAGTCCAGTAGTTTCCAGTCTGAATGATGGGGAAGCCCCAGGGGGTCTTAAAAATAGATCTTTCACATCCTCTGGGGCTAATAATGTATCAGAAGAAACAACCTGGAGTAAACTGACTGTGTTTGAACTGCACACAACAAGTTTACATTAAGGGCACAGCCTGTGATGACAAGTCATAAGTAGACATTGATTCATTATAGGAGGTCAGGAGAGCTGATTAACTGATTAATCCAAGGAAAATTAGTCACCAACTATTTTAAATGTTTCATTTTTCGAGTTAAAAATGCCAAACGTGTTGCTTCCTGCTTCTGAAATGTGGGGGTTTGCTGTTTGTCTTTGTCATGTGTGATAGGAAACAAATTATTTGGGCTGCAGCAAACAATTATTTTCTTTAATCGATTAATCTGCCAATTATTTTTCTCAAAGAATAGTTTTTTTTTTCTTTGTATCCAAAAAATGTGAGAACAAAAATATCCAACACAATTCCAACAGGTGTACCCAAGGTGATGTATTCAAATATCTTGATTTATCCTATCAACAGTCTAAAAACCAGTTTACTATCATGTGTGTCACAAAGAAAAGCATCAACTCTTCACATCTGAGAAACAGGAACTGTTAAATTAAATATCTGACAATTAATTTTCTGTCCATCAACTAATTGACTGCTCAACTAATCACTGTATCTGCACCATTCAAAAACTTAAACATATCTAATATGAATGCATAATGCCCAGCTCTCCTTAAAATAAAGACCTAATTTATGTAATTACTGTGGCTCTTATGTCAGTTGAATATTCCCTCTGTGTGTGTGTGTGTGTGTGTGTGTGTGTGTGTGTGTGTGTGTGTAAAAGTAACTTTGTGAGATTATTTTTATTGTTGTTGTTTTCTCCAAACCTTGTATATTTTTGTATGTAACCTAAAAACAAACGTGTGTAATCCCCAACCGAATTACAGCACGAATAAATCATTGTGTTTACAATATTTTCATTTCTCGATCCAAGAATAAAACTATTTTCGAGTCTGGTGTTGATATTTATAGTTACAGTCTCTTTCCTTACCTGAACTCATGGACCCCCTCGTCCTCCCCCTCGGAGCCCGCCTGGAGCTGCTTCGGTCCCGGGGGAAGATGAGTCGACAGCAGGTAGAGGTAGACACTTGCCGTCGCCACGACGGCAACTAGTCCCGCTAAGGAGCGCATGGTGCTCCCCGCTGTAACTCCCTGTTCACCGGATAACTCTGCAAACAACTCAGGCTGAATTTAAGAGGAGGGGAAGACCACCGTGGAAAGAAGAGTCGACGTGTTGTGGTTCAGTTTGACGGCACCGAGGGGAGGAAGGGGGGTGTCGCTTACCGAAAAGCAGGGTACAAATAACGGTTGACATTCTGGCTGGGGTTCGGCTGAAGGATCACATGGCAGCCGGCGACCGACAACTTTCTTCAGACAGGGAAAATACGCTGTTGACATTTGTGCCTCACTGTCACACAGCAGCTAAAACACTTGTCTTTTAACTTTATTTCCTACTCGTCTTTTCGTGAAACTGCCACATTTCAGATTAAATCTTCCAAAGCTGTGTCCAACAGAGGGAAATTTACACGCCTGGCTATTTAAAGTGAACTTGAAGCTATGTGTAATCTCAACGTGTATTTACACAAATCAGCCACTAGAGGGCGACGTGGTAAAGTCCATGTGTGCTCAGGAGTCCATCATAAAAAGTGATATCTAAAACTAGAAAATGCACTGTCAAACATACACCAGAAATCACTGAAAAAAAATTTAAATTCCTAGTAAATGATCTTATAGTTCATAGTAAATGATTTTGCATAACCATGCTGGCAAAAAACATACAGGTGTGAAGTCTTGATCTTTTTCAGAGTAGTTGAATTAAATATTGTGTTTCAAAATATGTCTGTTTTGGGGTTTTAATTTGAAGTATCTTTATATTTTATGTAGGTATGTTTTCTGTGAGAAAAACCATAATTCCACAAAAAAAGTAGGCTGCAGTGCTGTGCACAAGTTTTAGGTACTTCAAAGTTAGGGTGCTTTCAAAGATTTGCTATCTATCAATTAGCTCCAAACAAATTTTAGTAGACAGAGAACCTAAATTAAATCAATATTTTCAGTGACCACTCTTTGCCTTGCACCAGTTCTCCAGTGTGTATGTTTGGACAAGAGTCACTCCATGAATGCCAAACAGCACTGGGACTTTTAACTACATACATCACTCCTCTTTACAGGTGTTCTTTTCACCATTAATCAGTGTTACATTAACGATTGTTATCTATCTTAGATTGTAACAAACTTTGCAAAGATGAATACATTTCCAGAAATAACATTTGAATTAAGTTATGTATGGATGTGAGAAGAAGATGAAAGGAAGAAGCCTTGATACTTCAGCGCACACCTGAGGCAACTGGGTTGACAAAGTGGTAAACTAATGCGCACTGGGCAGGTCAGAAAAAATGTTTGTGTTATCAAGTACCAGTCCATTTGAGGAATTAATTGTTTTGACGTTGCCAAAGAAATGATGACATAAGAAAATCATACTCTGTTGCTGCTAATTTAACTAATATGGTGTTCGTAGAACTTTTGTATAAAAGCAATATCACACTCGAGGTCGTAATGTACTGAATATCAGCACGGCTGAGATTCGGTGATATGAAGATATTGCTTAACTATAAAATGACGTTGGTATACCTTACTATGATATGACGTGATGCAGTTGTTACAGTGAAAAGGTTCTGGGTTCGAAACCCGGGCCTGGGGGCTTTCTGCGTGGAGTTTGCATGTTCTTTCTGTGCCTGTGTGCACTCTCTCCGAGTACTCTGGCTTCCTCCAGCAGTCCAAATGCATGCACATTAGGATTATTGGCAACTCCAATCATAGTCATAGTCTTCCTATGACTTTTTATGCCAAACCAGACTATGACATTTTTATGACTTATTATATCTTACTATACTGTGACTTTTTTTTAATGTTTTTATAACTTACATTTCATGCTTTTCTATACTATTACATTTATATGACTTTTTTTGACTTACTATACTATGACATTTTTTGCCTTACTATACTATGACATTTTTATGACTTATTATATCTTACTATACTGTGACTTTTTTTAATGTTTTTATAACTTACATTTCATGCCTTTCTATACTATTACATTTTTATGACTTTTTTTGACTTACTATATATGACATTTTTTGCCTTACTATACTATGACTTTTTATGACTTTTTATGCCTTACTATACTATGACTTTTTTATGACTTTTTATGCCTTACTATACTATGACATTTTAATGACTTTTTATACCTTACTATACTATGACTTTTTTCTGACTTTTTATGCCTTATTATACTATGACTTTTTTATGACTTTTTATGCCTTACTATACTATGACATTTTTTGCCTTACTATACTATGACATTTTAATGACTTTTTATACCTTACTATACTATGACTTTTTTCTGACTTTTTATGCCTTATTATACTATGACTTTTTTTATGACTTTTTATGCCTTACTATACAATGACTTTTTTATGACTTTTTATGCCTTATTATACTATGACATTTTTATGCCTTACTATACTATGAGATTTTTATGACTTTTTATGCCTTACTATACTATGACATTTTTATGAATTTTAAAGCCTTACTATACTATGACATTTTAATGACTTTTTATACCTTACTATACTATGTCTTTTTTCTGACTTTTTATGCCTTATTATACTATGACTTTTTTATGACTTTTTATGCCTTACTATACAATGAC